CAGATTCTCCAGGGGGAGCAAGCCATTGTAAACAATTCTGAAAATCCTACCAGAGATTATCATGCAAGAATGTAAGAGGTAAATGAAACCACGCGCAAGTCGGCCGACTAAGCCGGACTTCATGATTGGAAACACAACTAAATACAGTCGCAAGGACAGCGCAGAAGAGCCCCTCTGTTCAGTTCTCTCGCTCTAAAATTGGTGCGTCCATAAGGCTAAAATCTTGGAAACTTGAGCTTCAACGCTAGCACAATACGGAATGCGCGTTCAGTCGAAACGAAAGTTTGTAGATTCTGATAAGGTATCCTAGGGATCCTTCCTCTCTTCAACACTAGAACCGAGGCAACTGACCGGTAATCCCCTGAACAACACTCAGACATGAAGGCATGCAGTGGAGACAGGCTACTAAGCGAACGTGAACCTCAACAAAAAAATCAGGTAGAAAAGGTCCTCAGGTGTGCGAACAAAAAACACAACGAGCGACCGTGGGTTCACAAAAGGTTATTTAAGACCTATGCAACCCGCCTGACTCACAAAGAATGATAATTGAATAGCTTACGAGTTCCGAACAACATCAGTACAAGCATAGAAGCATTACAGTAGCCGCGGCCTGTGTGTAGTTGGCTAGGAGTTAGTGAGTAAAAATAACCACTTTAGTGGGGTAGGCAAATTTATTGCGTAACCTAAGACTTAAAGGGGGGTGGAGTGTGCGTGGAGGGATGAAGAAACAAAAATATTGGAAAAAGAAGCGGCTCCTAGGCGCAATTAATCGTGAACGATGTCTACACCGCAAAAGTGCCACAGCAGCCGGAGCACCGTGAGTGGCTGCTTTCAGAAGCAAGAAACAACGTCGCTCAAAGCATGGCGATAGTTGCTCATAAAAAAGAAGCGACTCTTTCATAAGGAAGGGGAGGGGGAAAAGAGTTCAAGAAAAGTAGACGGCGAGTAGGCCGTTGCAGAGGAGACACCATCCTTATGGTAAAAGACAAAACGACATCCTACGGTGATTTGAACACACAGATATAATGGTGCCAGTCAAGTCAATTTATCACACAAACTGTTTAGTTATTGACACTGGCTTTTCCTTTTCAGGTACGTTTTTTTTGGTTTGCTGCTGCTCAATGCCAGAGATTGGTGGT